CTGCAACGGCGACTACGGGATCGTTGTGCTGCCGCCGGCGAGTCGACCGACGTCGCAGTAGAAGCATGCGGGGGAGATGGTGGTAGGCGGGGGAGGAGGAGGCGCCGTCAGCGCGGTGGACGGTCGAGCAGATCTGCCCTTTTTCTCAAGTTGGTTTTTGCAGGGAATGAACGGAAAAGGGTGGGTGTGTTGACTCAGTCGAGGGCTATCATGCGGCTGCTACAAAACTGAATCAAGGGCTGCTAGGCGACCGAGCCAAAATTGGGCCGGTCAGTCGGCGCCTAAATCGCCCTATTCAAATACACATTCCTCTGAGAGGGTGCTTTGATACGTTTTAGTCTCATGACTAAAAGTAGTGGGACTAAAACTTGCTAGCGTCATCCATGCTTGGATCCCAATACTAAAGAGACTAAAATCAAATTAATGAGCATTTATTATCCTCCAAACTCTCTAATACAGAACTCACATGTATTAAAGGAGAGGAGTTAAATGAGGAGAGAGAGGACTAATTTTAGTAGGGGTAACCCTGACTAAAAAAATTTAGTCTCAAGACTAGTTTTAGCCCCTCTTTGGTCAGGGGTGCTTTGATCTTTAGCCTCTTAAAAAGACTATTTTTAGTCAGACTAAAATAAATCCTTTGGATCCAAACACCTTCTAAGTTACCCACTGTAATTTATTTGGTCGTCCGAATCAATGTCGAATCGAGTGAATTAACAACATCCAGCCAAGTTCTATCGTCCGCGAACTGCTGCTCACCTTGCTCAAACGCAGCCAATCTACCTTTTGCTGAAATCGACTGCGCACATGCCGTTCAAATCACGGAAGCGAACAAAATGACAAGTGAACGCCTGCCAATTTCGTTAAGACCCACACATTCCTGGACCTGGGCCACCCGGGCCACCATTTTGTGAACCTCTGCCAGGAAACAAACAAGATAGAAAGACCGAGCAAAGAGGTAGAGTCCACAGACAATCAATCGCCCTTGGACAACCCGATCTGCATCACGCTATCTGGCTGCTCATGTCCTCCTCGATTCACCCATGAAAATGAGATGGTGAAATATGTTGCGCCTACTCGTTGCTCACGACCGTTGGCCATGCATGTTTCCCGACATGGGGAGGTAAAAAAACATAGTATGTGATTGGCAATGCACCATTTTTTTAACGAGAAATCAGTGTTAATTGCTCGGTTAGTTTGGCCGTTCACAGGCATGCCTGTACGTATTTATGCTGGTATCCATCCATTGCAGTGTTGTCTACATCCTTGTTGATCGTCCTTGGGTCCTTGGAATCCTTGGACGGCAACCTGTAATTCATCCATCCCCTGCACACTCATATATGCCTAACTTTTTCGTGAATACGCACGATGCGTATCATTTCATTGTAGAAGGTAGGGAGATTACATGGGGCCGACTCCCGTATAACGTACTCCCTCCGTAAACTAATATAAGAGCGTTTAGATAACTAGTTTAGTGATCTAAACGCTTTTATATTAATTTACAGAGGGAGTACGCTAGAAGGCGCATACGAGGACGCTTTCGGGCATATATGCCTTCATAATGGCCTCCCGAGCTCTCCGCAAACGCTCAACAAGAAACACCGGCTGCCCTGCCCACTTGGCCAAGCTAAGCTAGCCCATGCTCTTCTCATTTCCCTCTCTGCTTCTTCGGCCACGCTGCCGGCTCACTTGCTGAGCGACCGGCCGCGGCCGGTAAATACCAGTGCCATCCTATGTGGTTCCCAGGAGGCCATTTCTCGCTGGCGCTCGCCGTGTGGCATGCTCTCCTGGTCCTGGGCCTTGGGAGCGGCAGCTCGGCGCTCAGCTGCTACTCGCGCATCTTCAGCTTCGGCGACTCCCTCACCGACACCGGCAACTACGTGCGCCTGACGGCGAAGAACCCGAGCCCGTACGGAGCGCCGCCGTACGGGACCACGTTCTTTGGCCATCCGACCGGCCGGGCGAGCGACGGCCGCCTCGTCATCGACTTCATCGGTGAGCATACTGCTTGCGTCTGCATTTCCTTAACTTCTTTCAGCTGTTTTAAGTGTGCGTGTTCGTGTTGGCGCCTTGATGGCACTAATGTGCGTTCCGCAACATGTGTCTTTCACGGAATGACGGAATTCCATCTTCTCCGTTGCCTGTACACGGTGGTGTCAACTCCGGGAGTGTCAATCGCAAATTTGCATTCGCACTACTCCGGGAATATATCCAACAAAAATCATGTCAGCTATTTCTGTAAGTAACATCAAAGAGAGATATAAAAAATGCTTTTAAAGATGACAATACATCATTCTTAGGGTTAATAAAAATCTAACGCCCTCAGGTGTATCATTTTTTACGCTATGACAACTCCCACTTTAGAACATTACAAATCCTCATACACAAGCATGACAAATCCCTATCCCTATAAATCATACTAGCTTTCACTTTAGAACATGGCAAATCCTTATCCGTGTACGACATACCAACCTTTTACACTCACACTCTTGTCTTAATCAAAAAAAAAATATTTTTGGTCTCTCTACTATTTCTACTATTTGCTGATTTTGTTTTGATCCGAAAACTTGGACCCTAATAAGTGCCACACGTCAGATACGAGCACATGACAACTCTGAGCGTTCTCGACGGAAGTTTAGTGACGCGAGGATGACAATTTTAGCTGTCAAGCATGGCAACTTTGGTGCTTCAGTTTATCTTTAACAAAAACTTGTCGTGGGTCACTGGAATTTACCATCCTTGTGTGACTGAAATTACCATTAAAAACATCAAGGTCTGCAGTGTCACGCACCTGACGTGTGTCACTTATCATGTGAGAAAAACTTTATATGCGAATTGGATTTGTAATCGGTGTTTCTCAAGAAAGAAAGAAAGAAAGAAAGAAAGAAAGATGATGGTTTAACAAACCATGCAGGTCTATAAGAAAGAAAAATAGAAAATGACATATTAGATTCTTTTTGGGATTATCTGACTTTTTCAACAAGAAATTGGAAAAGTACATGAAAAACTAGAAAATGGACGAAAAGAAACATGAGATTTTCGATGAAAGTTCATAAAACAAATTTGTTACTATAGTTTCAATAACAAAAGTAAACTCGGTTATAGCTGATATACCAAAAGATATATTTTCCATAGGAAAACGACATGAATGGAAGTTCTTTTTTGCGGAAAAACTTCTGATCTATTCATCTTCAACCATGATAGTACAACAAACACCAAAAATAATAAAAATTACATCCAAATTCGTAGACCACCTAGCGATGACTACAAGCACTGAAGCGAGCCGATGGTGCGCTGCCGTCATCGCTCCTCCCTCCCTAGAGCCGGGCAAAATTTGTTGCAGTAGACAGTCAGGAAGTCATCGTTCTAAGGTCCCATAGGACCAACACACTAGAACAACATCCACCACCAATGAAGAGACACGTAGATCGGAAGGATCCAACTTTACACACGAACATAGACAAACGAAGTTCGGATCCAAGTAGATCTACCAAAGACAACCATCAACCGAATCATGTGACATGTGCCGGAGACACACCTGCACATGCCCTCTAGCGATGCTAGACGCACCGCTGGAATGGGGACTAGGCGGGGAGACACTCATTCCATCTTTAGGAAGTCATCGCCGTCTTGTCTTCCCGAGAATGACACAAACCCTAACAAAACTAAAAGAAACATCTAAAAATGTAGTTCTCCCGTCAGCAAAGGCCGGGATCCACCACACCTACATTGCCCTAGTGCCACGGGAGACAAGGCGGACCGACGCCGGCTCTAACGAGAGACAAAGGAACCCTAGCTTTTTTTGGAGGAGGAGGCGGCAGTTGGGTGTCCGTGCCACACGAATGGAAGTTAATACAAATATGATAGGTACAATGCCTCAAGTATGTGCATTTTTTGTTGTCAAAATTAGAGGTCTCTATTGTAAAGATCATGCCTTCTATGTTCTTTCTAAATATCATAGATATACTCTTGGCCTCTTAACCAACTAATGATGCACACAACCACATATTTCTTATATAATATTCCAAAACCAAGGAAGAACTTGCTAAGAAAAAAAGGCATTAGGAACAAATTATCTACCATAGCCAAAGTTGGATCAAACACCG